TCATCAGCTCCTGCGTGACTTATGTCAACAGTTGATGGTGACTCCATCAACAGATAAAAACAAAACAAATTGCACTGGATTTGGAGATGTCACTGGATCCTCTTGTTTTTAGTTTTGGCATGTATAGTATAGGCAGAGATTGTCCCTGCTTCTTTACTATTTCTACAGTCAGTGCTCCTGACATATTAATTAACATCCAATCACTTTTAAAATACTAGGTTAAGGCTTGAGCTTCCTCAAACAATTCCTATTTAGTATCACATACATTTGCTTCAACATACAAACTTTTATCAGTGTTGTGAAACCAATGATGCAGAAAATATTTGCCCTCTTGACACCTTTAGTGTCGAAAGCCCATGCACCTGAGTTCCATGGAGGTACTTTCAGCACTCATTAATGGGGCCTTTTGCCTGCTGGGAAGAATTTGTGAAGCCAGATTTACTGAAATCTCTTTTAGTAAGTAATATGCGATGTCAGAATGTGTCTTGAAACACTGGAGAAGTCAGCTGCATGCCATTACCTTTCTCCCTTCTGTACTGTATGTCAAAGTCAAACATTGCCAGCTTGGACAGTTATAACTGGTGGCAATGAGTTTAGCTAAAACATCCCTTTTTAAGGAAGTTCACAGTAAGAGCAATAAAGCTCCTGGTAGAGGCTTAGTATCTTCAGTTTGTGTGCAGGATGGCAGGTGTCTGCTAGCCTGAGGTTCTGACTTGCAACTACCGTTCAGAGCTTCTGAGCCCATTCTGAATCTGTCAGAGGACAGCACAAGGGAAATGTCAAACTGCAAAACAAAAAGTCCATTGCAATCAGCTGGAGTCAAAATTACAGGTCATATGGACTAGGAATACCATACAATATTAACCATGTGTGTCTTTTTAAAGCTGCATATAATATAGGGTCATTTGACTCAAATGAAAACTAACTTTTAAATATAGCGACCGTGGGTGCCATTTGGAACTGCAACCTCTGCTTGTCTTCTCTAGTGACACTTTTGTGTAATAAGCAAGAGCAGATAAAAAGAAAAAAATGCAACTAAAGCAATTAGCACCCCAAACAAAAGTAATTAGCACCTTCAGTGTTATTATTGATATTTTATAACTACGTATTGCTCTTGTATATGTACCATTGTTCAAAGTACTTGATTCTTTGTGCCTACAGTGTTGACAATCACCCATAGTGAGCATGTCCTGCAAAAATTGTAAAATGAATTTTGTGGCTTGATTTGAAACATTGTGCACAGTGTTAACTGTCCAATGACCAATAAATGTATTATTCATATATGAAGATCAAAATGACATAATCTAAACTACAGCTTCGATTTGGTTAACACAAAGGTGAAGATTTTCCTCTTCAGCCTTGCTCTAAAATTTCACATGCAATGCATAGCAGCAGGAGTCATTATATGCACTTAAGGCCATCTGAGGGTAACAGCAGGAACTGCCAAACTGTGTTATAAATAGTAACACATTTAGATGAGACCTTTATCAATGATAAACCAGGCTAATGTAATCAATGTCTGTCTGAATGTTCTGTACTGTAAATGTCATTGTTGAAAAACAAGCATAAGTTTATTTACTTGCACAGAAACCTAAACCTTCAATGTAAGTGAATATTAAATAAGTTCAAAATATGCGTCATTTCATTTCAAACACACCATCTAAACTGCATGCATTGGGGGTACTTTATGGAAAGTTACATAACCAAAATGGAACAGCAGTGGGCCTAGCTGCAACGGCTACAACATTGATAATGAGATGTGATTCCAGAATGGTGGGCACTGACTGGGCCCCCATGGTGCGATCAGATAAACAGGGAAATGGAGAGGTGGGGCTGCGCGGACACTGACTGACGCATGTGAACGTGTCTTGCCTTACAGTTTGTCCCCCACTTGCCAGAGCCCAACTCTGCTGAGCCCCTGCAGTCCCTGCAGTCCCTGCAGTCCATTACTAACCCTACATCCATGGAGGTAAGATGATTCACTTGCACACAGCTGAATGCTGAAGGCACACCTGTGAAGAACCAGCCACAACGCAGCTCGCATGACAGTGGCCAATGGACGTGAATCCGTTTTCAGCTGTTGTTAAAATGGCTGTAAGAGAAACTGATGCTGCCTGCCCTCTCTGAAGTCAAGGAAGTGTATTGTAAAACCTACATCTAAATTTTTGATTGGCATAGTGAGTTGCAACACAACATAAATGTATGGTTTGGCAACTTATCTGTAATGAAGTGTAAAAGTAGGTTTTACCCTGCAATACATAATAGAGCAAAAACAGATTGATGATTGAGTAACCAAGCAGGAACCCAGTCTGTGTAGCAGTTCACTGGGTTTGTGATTATGGAAAACCGATCACACATTCCTAAACTTTCCAATGCACATGTGGGTTGCCTGGCAACCCTCACTGATACTGCAGAGACAACAACAAAGCATGAAAAAAACAAGGTCAGCATGATAATATGAGTGAGAAACCACCTGCTATGTTCTGCACATTGACAGAATAATCCCACATGTGATTCATTTTGCTCACAGAAAATTAAACTTCAAAAAGGCGCAAGATGTCTTTTGCCAGAGACATATAACTTGAGGTCTACAGCTAAAGAAATGCAAAGCTAGCCATTGTATGTTAAAACCATTCCACATTAACATTGACACTATCTGTTATGATAGATATTTGATGGACGGTATGATAAATATAAATATAAATATATAATAAACATAAATATATGAAGGTATTTGTGTTGGAAATATTTCATCATTTTGGATGTTTTGTCATACCGTTGAACTATGGAAGTGATACCATTCTTCTTCTCTTCTGTGTGTCCTACACCCATCTCTTTCCACCTCAGCTGTACCATTGATATTATTCCCCCAGGAAACTGGAATAAATTATGTTTTATTTTTAAGGGTCCATTGAGTTAATTGATTTTTCTTGCAACTCACTTGCCTCCTTCACAGATAAAAATGTGTTAATGAGTATAGCTGGATTCAAGTGGCTGGCCCTTTCACATTAGCACAAAGGTACTTCTCTCTGGAGGCCTGTGAACCAATCTATGTAGTGATCTTTTCTCTAGTAATCATACAGTGTCTACAGTCTAAAGTCCGTTGTCTCCCTGGATGAAATCATTTCATCAGCATTTGTAAAACACTGGCAAAACTTTCATTCAAACAAGAAATTATGAATGAACATAACAGACACATTTTTATGGCCAGGCGGATAAACAGTCAAGGAAAACTGAGTGATATTTACAGCAGCTATTGTATCGCACCAATGAAAACATTTACTATAACTTAAATTACATATATATTCCCCCTGCTGTATTAAATTAATGTCTAACCTTAGAAGGAATTCTATTTCTAAAGGGAGTTTTGGAATGATTTTCCAGGTTCAGCTTCTGTCCCAGTCACTTTTCAAATGGGAATTATTTTTCCAGAGTATAATCATTCCAACAGCAACCATTTTAATGTTTGAACAAATTCTAAAGAAGACAAATATGAATATAAATCAATTGCAGCCTTATTCTGTGTTCACATGAAACATTCTGATGGTGAAAATGTGCCATAATCAAACAAGGATAGACAACAATGTCCAGTGGTAACTTAAAAGGCCAGCGTATGCATCACTATTTTTGTACGGAAACAGAAAAACATCCACTTGAAGTAGAACTTTCTTTGGATTTAGGCAAGACCTTGTCATTTCTCAAACTTATCTGCCTGAATGAACACCTTTTTGCTCAGGGCCAATGTTGCCAGGATACTTAAAAGATGGCACATGTAGCAAATGAGCGAGCCTCAAAAACACCCTGTATTTCCTCCCACAACATAAGAAGTACCTCTTGCAGGCGGAAGGTTCTGTAGAATAAACAGTGATTTTATACCTAATATCATCACCCTGGCAGCTACCAGGTTTCTCCACTGCACAAGTGTTTTGAGTGAAATTATGATTTCACTCAAATACTGGCATAGTTAGCGAGATAACTAACCTGTAGAATGTGTGCTTTTTGCTTCCTCAGTGAAAGCTTCCTAGAGTAAGGATTGAACATAAATCGTCAAAAGACAATGCTTTGTGGCTATCCGTGTGTGCAGTCAAGTGTAAATCATAAGTCACATATTTTAATGATGCATCTATAGTTCTATAGGCTCAATGGAAGTGCATGCATATTTTACAGTAATACATATACCAATCAATTTTGTACATTTCATATGGACCTATATGTGTATTAAAATTTATGTTAAGATAATGTAAGTAATATTATAGTTTATCATGTCTGAAAATCAGACTTAGCTTAACATTAAGTTCATAGCTTAACACAATGCTGCAGGGTCTCTCCTCAAAGCAATGGTTGTGCAATTGAATGCCATGACTTGTAGTTGAACCCTATTTAGTAGTTGATTTTATTTTAAGGGCCCTATGAAATGCCGCAGCGCCTAGAATTTCAAGTCGCTCACTGTAGATCAGCATTTTTCCACCTTGTGTTACATCATTAGATTGGTGGCTCCCCCACACAAACAAAGGTAATTTCACTGCTAGTTTGGCACCAAAGAGGAGATGGGTGTACTTGATGTTAGCATCAAAGTTCACAAAGTTATAATGGTAGTTGTTTTCAGTAACATGAAGTATAGGGTATCCAGCTAGTTGCATTGATGTGGAGAACAGCCGGCTAGCTAGCAGACTAACTGCACAACATATGCTGTTCAAGTCTCTTGAAGACCATGAGTTTATTTTCAAAAAAGGGTACCTAGCCAAACAGCAAACATAATAAAGCTTAGTCTCCTCTCTGCTGGAACTGCAGGCAACTGCTGGTTTAACATGATCACACAATTTTGTTTCAGGTGCTCTTTCAATGCTTCTTCATAGTTTACTGGCTGACTGTGCATCTTGAAAATTAGCATGATTTTCTCAATTTTGTTTCTACTTATGTAGCTAACTACCTAGCTTTTTAATCATTTAGCTTAACCACCACTTAACTATGGTACTATAAGATAAGTAGCTAGCTATTTAGCATTGGGGGTTCAATGGTAGAATTCTCGCTTGCCACGCGGCAGGCCCAGATTCGATTCCCAGCCAATGCAGTGCCTTGCTTTAGTAGTCTCAAATCCTTCAATTACAAGGTTTCCAACATATATAAGTCCCCAAAATGCCAGCAAACCAATCTATTGCAGCAACAGGGTAGCAAAGCGGCAAGGAGCAGGACTTATAATAAAAGGTTGCTGGTTCAATTCCCCGCTTGGGCACTGCTGTTGTACCCTTGGCCTTGGGTAAGGTAATCAACCCAGAATTTCCTTAGTAAATATCCAGCTGTATAAATGGGTTAAAATGTAAAAAATTGTGACCTATGTAAGTTGTGGATAAGAGTGTATTCTAAATGCCAGTAATGTAATGTAGTTACCTTTTGTTGATGTGGGGAATAGTAGAAGTTCTTGATCATTGAACTACTTTCTTTGTAAGCTTCCAGTGGAGATGTGTGCTACAAACACAAGCATATTTTTATTGGAATGGATGTCTTATTTGTCATGTAAAATCGAAATTAACTGTTCCGGTTTGCTGTCAAACATCAATAAAAATCATCTGCAATTAGAAAGTATGGTAGGTAGTTACCTAGTTAACCAATTGTTGTCTACATGTTTATTGGGTTTGTAAAACCTCAAGTCTGAAGTGTAAACATACAAATGCCGGCCTTAGTGCTCTTCATCCTGGGTGGGACATAAAGCCGCAAGGGGGACTCTCTAAGATGATAAAAGTGGGACATGTTTTATTCAGAGAAATCATAAACGATAGAACTGTGTCCAATAGCAAACTGCTAGTTATGGTATGTTCAGAGTGTGTTTGAGTCCTTTTTCAAAACTTTTTCAATGGTATTCTGGAGAGGTGCACTACAGGCAGGAAGTCAGTAGAGTGTGCTCAGTAGAGTGAGTCAATGTCTCATGGCAATGCACCAGATTAAGAAGTGTTTTTTCCTCATATGGTAAGCAATGGAACAGGAGTTGACTAGGGTGTGCGTTTTGCAGCTGGATACTATGCAGTGCATGCCTGCATTCCACTTTGCATTATTTTCTTTTGTCATCTTCTGGTAAGATGTTGGTACTTCACACTCTGTCACTGTAGCTAGATACAGCTGTTATTGTTGAGCTAAGACAGAGACTCTTGCACCTGGCCAGGTTCAAACCATCATGTGACATCACACGGAGGTGCATGAGAAGTATGGAGAAATGGCTGCACCAACAGGGAGAAAATATCACTGAAAATCTATGTCTGAGAAAGATTACGGAACATAGACGTTTGCAAAATGCCATATGGCTTTTGCTTTTCTCATTTAAAAAAGGTTACTTTCATGTTGAAAATGGTTTATAGGATCTTCAAACCATGAATCTACAAGAGAGCAAACAAGGAGTGCATTTCTGTCTTTGACAATAGTAACAGGATAAATGGCACATGTCACATGATTTGGTGGCCATCTGAGATTAGTTGTAAAACAGTAGATAGGTAGATAGATATGGTATTTGTAGTCTTTGTATGAAGCTCTGCCTACATTTTGTAAAAATAATTACTTGATCAAAAAATGGCTGCCATAAGACAACTAAATTGCACGATTTACAAATAAAAATACAAATATTTGAATAAGTCAATTGTCACAAAAACCCCAAACAAACAGTGACTTTCTAAATTGCAAAGAAAATGTTGATGTGTTGAAATATACAGACACCACAGCCAATCCATGTGGAGCATTGAATTTATTGTGGAATTATTGGTAGATCATGTTAGAATTTGAAACTTTGCTAATTTGCCTAAATTTACAACTGTAATGAAACAGACTGGGATCCAGGAGCAGCAAGCAGGTTTAATCAGGAATCATGGTCAGGGACAAAACAGGTCAGTAACGGTGGCAGCAGGTACACAATCCAAGATCCAAAAACACAAGCGACGTCAAGAGCACAGGCAAGGGTCAAACACCGGGAACTAACACTAGAAAATCACAGCAAACAGGCTTGGTATCCACAGGGAGCAATACCTCACAAAGAGGCAACAAAAGCAGAGTCTTTTTATGGGCAGGGCTTGATTGCAGAGAGGTTACAGGTGTGTTTGATGGGTGGTTGAACTGGGCGTGGCTGAGCAGGTTGAACTGGGCGTGGCTGAGCTGGCTGGTTGGGAGTGGGCGTGACAACAACAGATCTACAGGATATGGTGTAGTTTCCCTTGGTTGGTTACACAATATGAATACAGTATTAGATTCTTCCACCATTTCATACAAAAACTTGACAAATTGACAAGTGTAAATTCTTAAACATGTGAGACATATTCTAGTCCTCTGTAAAGACAACAGTTGCAACTTGCCATTTTGTACTTAGGTTTCACAAAAAGTGAGAAGAGACTAGGCAGTTATTATGATGGTGAGCATGAGATATCTTATTATGAGTTGATTTCATCATCAGTGGTGTCAAAAGACAGAAGGAACTGAATGTAGTAGTAGCTCTAGATATGAAAATCTTTTTTGGCCTTTCTTCAGTATTTCAAATGCCTTCCAATCACATCCAACAAGTGGATGTCCAGAAGCTGATCCATTTATAAAACTAGTATGTTACCTTAAACAGCAGTGAATTTACAGTACTTTGATCTCTCTATTGAATTATGATGAGCACAAAATAAATGTGCACTTGGTGATTGTGAGTTGTATGTTTATTTTTGACAAAACAATCAACATGCCCCTTGATGCATTTGATCATTTTTATTTTGTCATTGCCACAGACCTGTCCTGTCTTGCTAATATCTGTGTTTTGGGATATGAATACATACACCACACACAGAGAAAGAAGCCTTATTCTTTCCACCAGTTGCTGCTCCAGCAGGGGGAAGCATTTCAGTATCTTCAACTCACCAGTTAATCCCTCCCCACTGGTGCAAACAAGATAATGCAAGTTGCTCTTCTGATTCTTCTATGTTGATTAATAGATGGTCATCTGTTAGGTTTGGTTTAATTTAGCTGTTTGTATGCCATTGTTGGAAGTTACTGTATGTTTTAGGACTTTGGGGTTTATTATTTGTAGACTTGTGTGTTAACAATATTAATTGCATATACTGTAGAAACATGCAAGAGTGTTGAGATGGACCTGCATATTGGGATTCACTCTGATAATAAACATGTTTTCTCCCCAGATTAATGAATTTATTTCATGTATGCTTTCAGTACTGTAATACTTCCCATAAGACTCAGAAAGTAACAAAAAGCAGGAAACAGGAGATTTTACCATGGGAGTAATATATAATTTCAATGCGGCAGGAGGAAATATATATTTAAGAGGGAAAGGCATAACCAAGCCACTAATGTGGACAACAGCACAGGTGTACTATAGTAAGCTGACATACATTGTATATCCCATGTGTCACATATTTGCTTGGTTGTGTACAGCAGGAATAATATACTAGAATATTTTTGAAGATTTCATGTCTCCTTTTGTGACCTATGTGTAGCGATAGATAGAATAGAATGAGATTTCAGAAATTGCATTACAGTCCTTTCAGTTTAAATTCTTAATAAGACATTTTAAAATTTTAGTTGCATATTGCAATAGGCTATTGGATATTAGAGGTAAACTTTACCAGGTGATTGCATTTGTCCTAATGTTGGCTAGGAATAAACCCACAAATTCTGTTTCCTCAGTGTCAAATCCCACAAGATCACAGGCACAATTCTAGATGTATTGTGACCCTTTTTGGTGGCTACAATTTGTCACTGATGTGATTTACACCAAAGCTGTAACATTCACAAAGATAAATTTGGGTTGACAGACTTCTAAATCAAGTGTAGGTTGAAAGGTTAAGATAAAGGTGTATGTCTAGACAGGTTTCCAACATATTCATGTGTATTCTCATTTGATTAAGAATTAAACCAGTTTCCACTGCAGTTGCAACTGCCAAATTCCGTTTTCCTCTTTGCTTTCTCTACACATGACTTGTTGCACAGGCAATACGTTCTTACCATAATAATCAGGTGCATGTAACATTTTGTGTAGCTATGTTCTATTATGTAGAATATTAGTGAATAGTCCTCAGATGGGGACACAGGAATTAATTTAATCAAGACAAGACTATTATTGTCTAACAACACAACAAGCTTTCATCGCAAAAGTAATAAGGCCAAATACAATATAATGGTGTAGCAGCATTTAAAAATATTGTACGTAGGCTGCTAGATGTTTAATCTGAATTGCATGGTTTACCCTACTAGCAAATAGTGCACATTCCCGTAGCGTTGTGTGAATCCCTCCGCATTGCTGAAGAAAATAACAGTATTCCCATTGCAACATTGTTTCATATCATTTTAATTCTGAAGCTGATATGGGTTTATTATATAACGTGTATTATTTGATATCTTTCGCTGTTACAGGCATCGCTATCGAGTTCACGAGTGTGGACACCCCATTGAAATCAAAGTCCAGTTGTGGGGGGTACCCGTTCAAGTACTTGCCAGAAGCTGCTTTGTTTCATGAGGGCACTCTTTAATATCATTTTTTGTGAGCGCATCCTCTCGGCAAACTTGACGTGACATATGCGCATTAGCGAGAATGATGTCGGGTAGATTACTGTAAGATTATGGATTTAGTGATTGAATGGGGCATCCTCCCCTTTCCTTGGGCGGTAATGGTATATTCCAATGATGTTGATTCCTTACCATCACTATTGGGCATTATTAGGTTACCAGTGTTACACGTCGAGAAGGTCTGAATAGTTGAGTTGCATGATGCACCGAGGGAGTGGGGTTGATGGGGAAACTGAAGAAATGATGCTGCATGGGCAATATGGGATTGCGAGTCTCCGAAACGCACGTCTCTGTTAATTTGGGAGTTTTTACTGGCCAGAGGAAAAAATTGCTAAAGCCGTGATGGCATCTGTGTCACCATCAAGATGAAATACAGCGAGGACTCCCACGTTAGCTAGCTTGCTAGCTAACAACTAATTTGTAGCTACACAAAAGAGTCTGGTTGACCAAGGGAATGGAGTGTGTACCCGGGATTCAGGGTCTTCCTCACGAGCTTTCTTTATCTTATAATTAAGAGGAGGACTTATCTTTTTGGGA